ACAGTAAATTACAGTAATTGTGTGGTACAGTAATTGTGTAGTATAGTAAAGCCTGCTTAAAACAGAAGATTTTCACATGGCTCATTCCATCGCACACCCTAAAAACAAGAAGACAATGGGAGGAGCCATGTAAATAATTGCTTTTCATCCCTTAGTCTAGGTTCCCACCTATGCGTTCTCCGCTGCGTATTGCAGAAACGCACAGCAATTCATTTAACATGATTTCCTATAGGACAGGTTCACATCTCCGCGTTTTCACCTGGTGCATGTTTTTGGAAAGGGTCAGTGACTTTTTTAAATGCCAAACGTTGCGTTTTTGGCTTTATAGACGTCAATGGAGATGCTGCAGAAAAGCATGTAGTGCATTTTTATGTGCTTTTGATGCACTTTGCATTTTATTCTGCCCAGCAAAAAGTTGAAAAAAGAAAACAAAAAAGCAAAACACACTGCAAAACGCACTGCAGAAACTTATCAAACGCAAACTGTATAGGTGTGAACCTATCCTTTGCACAGATGTACTTCCAGAACCGCTCATGTACAGTGCAAATATAGCCTAATATTATACAGCCATTTATTCCAAACTGCATAAAACTGTTTCAGGATATTTGGCCATCATCAGTGCAATGTATGAAAACCATCTCTATAGATGCCTTTTTTTCTGAATGACCTTTACTCTGATGAAAATTCAGGCTAAGTTTAATTCCAAGCCAAACCCTCTACAATTCTCAAAAAACTGGAAAGTGCACGATTATGACAAAAATGTATTCCTGATTGCAGAAATCTAATCCAGCCTCGATATGTAAGGATTAGTAAACTGAAATAAAAAAAATTAGCGTTTTTGGGTTTAGCACCGCTTAAAGTTGCATGTTTTTCTGGAGAGTATTAGTTTCCTGCTGTAGCTTACTATTGAGAACTACTTTTTAATGGGTTTTTGTATTTAATGTTTGTTGCATGCACCACAGGGCTACACACAGGCCAAGTTGAAATGGAAAAAATCAAGAGCAAAAAAAAAGACACATGAAGAATGCATAAACTCCATATTAACAGTGTTATTGGTGGGAATCAATACCAGAACCTCACTACAAGTCAAGAGAACAAACTGCTAAGCCACCATGATACACGTGTCCTTCATGCTGATATATGTGTTTGCCAGTGGTTTTAATTCCACATTTTTTATTTAATGAGAAGGATATTGAGATGCACAAGGGTCAATATTAATTTTTCAGGAGTGTCTTTAGCTTGAGTTGATAAACTTACAGCTAAATTCACACAAACATCTTTAAGTTGGAATAGAAATAGGCCAACTGTTATAAAGATCTTCATGCCTAAAATACATACATTAGCTGTCGCAATTTTTTTAAACGTTTTAAAACGTATAAATTACAAATTGTAAACATTTTCAACTGATGCAGGTCTTGCAAAACATTGTAGACCTTGAATATTTTAAGTGCTTAGAAATGGTGTTTGAGTATTACATTATTCATTAGATATAGATGAATTTTAATGAAGGCAAAGAACCTTATTCAGCATTGAAATTATAAGCACATTAGAAAATCATTAAGCCATATAAAGAGAGGGAAAAGAGGCCATAAAAGGTAAATGAAACTCATAATAAAATACAAACTGAATGACCTGGCTATACATCAAATACAAATTACCTGTGTATCATAAAGCAATACAAATTAATCAGTTATCAATTCTTAAAAAATGCTACTACAGCTACACAAACATACCATCTGGTCAAAAATCAGATTTTAACTAAAATATGTTCAAGTGAAATATTAACATTTCAGACCTATATCTTCTCCCTATCATTAATAAAATTCAAAATAGCTATAAATGCCTACACAGACATGTGATTATAAACGTATTCTAGGTAATAATCTTTTTATGGTGTTTCTATGTCTACATTTCTTTTTTTTCACTGTGGGTTACAGATGGGCCCCAAAAGGCCAATAGTAGTCCATACCTTTTTCACCAATGCTGTCAGTAGAGTGGTTTGAGAGCCAGCCTTAAAATGGTTCTAAAGGCTCAAGGTTTTTTACCTTCATCTACTCTATGAATGAAGGTAAAAAACCTTCTGTATGCAGTGCCCCCCCCCCAGTCCTTACCTGAGCCCCCTCCAATCCAGCAATGTTCTCAACAGCCTCTGTTGACTGGGGACTCTTCCTCCTCATTGGCAGAAACAGCAGTGGGAGCCCATTGGCTCCTGCTGCTGTCTATCACAGCCAGTAAGCCAATGAGAAGAGAGTGGGGGTGGGGCAGAGGCTCCATGTGTCTTATGCACATATAGAGCAGTGGCTTGGGGGCTAGCATGCAGAGGTGTCACCAGGGCAAGCGACTTTCCCTGGGGTCACTGCTTGAGAGGGAGGAGCCAGGAGCGCTGGCAGGGACCCTAAAAGAAGAGAATCAGAGCTGCTCTGTGCAAAATCACTGCACAGAGCAGGTAAGTATAGCTATGTTTGTTATTTAAAAAAAAAAAAAAACAAAATAAAGCTTTAGTGTCACTTTAACCAGGCTGATTTACAGATAATAGATAACCTTTGTTTTATCTGATGGAGCTGGTATCACCATTTCTTAGTTTTATAATGTTTTTCTTTATTTAACAAGTAAAATGTGCTTGTGAAAACTATAAACTGGTATGCCTATGGCTACAGCATGAAGGGTTTCCTGCTACTCTGATACCAGCCTGCTTGCTCTTCACCATCTGGTTGGTCCTTTAAAAGTGAGGCAATTGTCCCTCCCCTTTTAAAAACATCTTTTCAACTCTGATACAGCAAACACTGTAAATGGGACATAGGAAGTAACAATACCAGCATAAATCCTGGACTGTCAGAATCTTACAGAATCTAATGGACCAGTTGTCATTATGAATCTCTACTGAGAATAATTTAGTTGAGGCTGGAAAGCAAACATTGTTCACACATTTTCTTTGCCAAACCTTAACCCTCAGAGTTTTTTCTTGAAGAGAAGATTTGTCAAGATCCAGTTCAAGCCTGAAAACCCCTCTGGATTAGCTTTTAAGCACAGTAATAGATGTGTAACTAATTACATATAATAAAGGTTTCTTCTCCGTTCTGAGTGTTTTGTAAAACTTTTATTTCCTTTGGAATGGTGAATAGTTCCAGCCTTAAAAGCAACCTAAAGTAGGCTTAAAATTCTAATTTTCCAGGACTTGCTTGAGTACTTGTTAGCATTATCAAATAACTTTATTAATTTGAGTAACTGTTAACCTATTTCTCTCTATTAATAAAAAATGACTAATCCCTTGCTACCGGGAGCACTGTGAGTGTTTTTTTTTGTCATTGCAGATAATCTGCTGTCTTCAGCCAGGCACACCTGTCTGGTAGATTTAAAATGAGATAAGAGGATCAGCAAGGTACACCTCTACTAAGCAACAATCAAACCTGCACACATGATGAGAAACTACAGCCTCTACCATGTAAAAAATATATTTACAATTTTTTAAACATTAACACAAAATGATACGGTTATATACATCAAATGGATTTGCATGCATATGAAACTTGTGCAACAGAGGTGCAGAAAGCCAGCCGCTCAACAGCACCTGTTGCATTAAGAAGAGTGCTTCTAAACCCAAATGTTTTTTTTTTTTACCTTTTAACTTTATTTTACTAGCCCCCCACACTTGCACAGAGCAGGTAAGTACATTCTCTTTTTAATTTAATTTAGAAAAAGCCTTTTGTATCACATTAATTTTATCTCTTTTTTTTTAATTAATTATTTGTAGTAAAATGTTTTAGATTTTTATATTATTGTATGTGTAGGACTATGTGGAGACTGTATGGTTAAGTTGTGACATATATGAAGTTTTCCTTAAATGGTTATCATCTAATTAACAATTCTCTGATTAAAGCTGGCCACAGATTGGCCAGTTCAGCAGGGAAGGATGAATGTTGATCCAATGGTGTCCGCTCCTTCTCGACAAGTTCATTATTAGAAAGACCAGTTATCAGAAGACAAGGTCCTGGTGGTGGGGATTCCTCCATCTACATCACTTTTTTTTAATGGTCCATCTATGACCAGCTTAACTGTTTAACCAAGGTATATAGACATTGGTATGACTCCACCACCCTATCCTCTCCTCTGATGAAATGCATTGGGTAACAACACTGTGGTGGTGTCATCAGCAGGGTCGGACTGACAACTCATGGGGCCCCCGGGCAATAGGGGATCATGGGGCCCCTGTGTCCTTCCCAAACTCAAAAAAGCCTGTGAAAAAGGTACCAGGGGCATCTCATGGGGCCCCCTACTGCCCCCGGGCCCTCGGACAAAGCCTGAGTTTCCAAATGTTCAGTCCGCCCCTGGTCATCAGACATGCTTGTATAGGTACCAGTGTTATAGAACACTGTTATTCCTGCAGTGCTGGGAAAGTGCTAGAATCTGTGAGTTTTACTGCTTTGTCTACTTTTTCCATTAATAAATACTGTAAATGGTCTTATGCTATGGGAGTTTCTATTTATATATCCTTGCAAATATACAAGTGGACCCACCTTCTAAAGATAGGTGGAATGAAAAGAGTCACATGAATTTTTCTTTCAAACAAGTATACATGACCTACTTATCAAAAAGTGGTCATATGTTTCTGGTGAGTGCGTTTTTTTTTTTTTTTTATTTAAAAAGACACATAAGTGGTTTGACAGCACTTATAAGCATTTGAGCACATATTGCAGATTCAGGTACTTGCATGTTTGGTGGAAGAATTCAATCAATCAGAATGGATGATTATTTTATTCATGTGGCACCTGGTTTAACCACTTCCGCCTGCCCTATAGTACAATGACGGGCGCAAGGTGGTTCTCTCATTCTGATAGGACGTCATATGACGTCCTACCATTCTCACTGCGCATGCGCGGCCCAGGGAGCACGCAGCGCGGCGAGCGCCGATCCGCTGTGTCCCTCGGACACAGCGGATCATGGAAAGAGCCGAAGATGTCGGCTCGGCCATGTGATCAGCTGTGTCCAATCACAGCTAATCACATGTAAACACGGAAATGCCATTTATCGGCATTTCTCTCCTCTCGAGTTGTCACGCTGACAGCTCGAGAGGAGAGCCGGTAATCAGCTTTCTGCGGAGAGGACATGTACACTGATCATCAGGGCACTGATGATCAGTGTGCCCTGATGATCAGTGTGGCCCCGAAAGTGCCACCTGTCAGTGCTCATCAGTGTCACGTGCCAGTGCCCATCAGTGCCACATCAATGCCACATATCAGTGCATACCAGTGCACATCAATGCCACATATCAGTGGCCATCTGAGCTGCCTTTCAGTGTCACCCATCAGTGCCAGTCAGTGCCACCTATCAATGCCAATCAGTGCCACCTATCAGTGCTGCCAATCAGTGCCACCTATCAGTGCCAGTCAGTGTCGCCTAACAGTGCCAGTCAGTGCCGCCTATCAGTGCCGCCTAACAGTGCCAGTCAGTGCTGCCTAACAGTGCCAGTCAGTGCTGCCTATCAGTGCCAGTCAATGATGCCTATCAGTGCCATATATCAGTGCCATATATCAGTGTCATGTATCAGTATCATGTATCAGTGCTGCCTTTCAGTGCCCATCAGTGATGCCTATCAATGCCCATCAGTGCAACCTACCAGTGCCTCCTCATCAGTGACCATCAGTGCCACCTATCAGTGCCCATCAATGCAGCCTATCAGTGCCCATCAATGCAGCCTCATTAGTGCACATCAGTGAAGGAGAAAAATCACTTATTTACAAAATTGTATAACAAAAACTAAGAAAAAAACGTTTTTTTTTTTTCAAAATTTTCAGTGGTTTTTGGTTTGTTTAAGAAAAAATAAAAACCCCAGAGGTGATTAAATACCACCAAAAGAAAGCTCTATCTGTCTCAAAAAAAATGATAAAAATTTCATATGGGTACAATGTTGCATGACCTCGCAATTGTCATTCAAAGTGTGACAGCGCTGAAAGCTGGAAATTGGCCTGGGCAGGAAGGGGGTATAAGTGCCCTGTAGGCTAGTGGTTAAAGAAGAAGGTGATGTTTTTGACAAAGAAAAGTTTTGATGATTACTTTTTATTTATACTATGCACTTATAGTTTGGGAAGAAGCAGGTTTTATATGCTTCCATGAACATGCCTAAAAAGTCTCCCAAGCTAGGAAGAAAAGTACCTTACACTAATGGCAATCCTCATGTGGCTGGTATATGTCAAATTTTTCATTAGCACCAACAAAAATTTTGATCATATGCAGATGGTCAGCTTAACTATTGAAGCTTTTATCAGTTGATCCCCCATCTATGTTTCTGAAGTGTTCATCAGGATCCTGAAGTGGTATGAATCTCAGTAGGGGAGAATATACAGTTCCCAGTTTGCTTTTTATGTATATGGCCTTGTAAATTGATTTTACGCTAGATACCCAGACCTAAATATCATATCATTCCTTGTAAAAATGAATTACAGTTTGAAAAACTGGCATGTCCCTAAAAGCTGGAAGGGTAATAAAAGCATATCTCATACATTTAAACAGCAATTATTTATGGTCCAGGAAAATGTAACCAACTATGTTATTTGTCAAAGTTTGGTTTGTGTATTTCACTCTAAAATTCTGGAAGCATATCAAATTGCATCACAACTAGACATATGGGTAATATCTTCTCCAAAAGAGGAAAACATGTCCCAAAGACAACATAATTTTGTTTATTAAAAGCATCAAAATAAAGCAAATTATGATGGAAACACAGTATAACATAACAAGAGCTCAAAGCGTAAACCACACTATATTATACAGATGGTCTGAACAACACTCAAACCTGATATTTCAATTTTTCATAGATCCTGCAAACCATCGAACAGTTTCTCTCAAGGTTTTTAGTGGTTTTTTTTTATAATTTTCAATGTAACTGAGCCTACCAGATTAGACTTTTAACAGATATATACTTAAATCCCGATCACACTGGTGTGAATTGTCATGCGATTGATCATTTAAAAGTTTCACCCTATTGTCTGCAATAGAAGTGGTAAAATCATTTAAAAATCTGGAAAGTAGTTCATGCACTACTTTTTGTAAGTTCAGGTGCGACTTGCATAGACATCTGACATCCAACTTTGCAATCGTGTGCATTCAAGTGAAGTCGCACGATTTCAAACTCAGATTCAGTGTGACTAATAATAATTTAGTAAAACTGTTATCGTGGCACTCCAGGCCAAATACTCTCAGGGAATAATCAGTCACCCTGCTGGATTTCTTAACCCATTTTCATTTCCTGGGGTTGTTTTGGTGTTGGGCATGTATCGAATGATTTGGTGATGTGAAGATACGGCATTTTCATCCACCCGTTTAAAAAAAAAATATTGTTTTACCCTACACATGTAACTGCCCTCCATTTCTAGTTCTAGCTACTCTTTGAACAGAAGCAAAGGGGAATTACATTTGCTCAATTTATAAACAAGTACTTACAAGCTGGGTTTATATTATTAAAGGTTGGTCAGAGATATGCATATCTCAAAATTATTGGAAGAGATACATCTGGCTGTCCCTTAACAGGTTGCTTTGATGACAGGACCTGTCACAATACTTGTTCAATAGCAGCAGCTGCAAATATGTGTTACTCTGATCCCTTTTTCTTGTCTATATTGAAAGAAAAGATTAGGCCCGCCGACGGTACATTTTTTTTACTGCAGTAAACACCTTCACCCATTGAAGTATTGCCACCTAAGTGATCGGAAGTAGCTAGATGATTGCCAAAGCTGATCTATTATCTCATGTATAAGGCTACCCTAAACTGCATACGCAACTAACAAATCCCAACAAACAACCTCAGACCTAAAAAGCCAATGGTAAGGCAATATGTTTGCTAGACAGGTGTTTTTATATACAAGCTTTATTAAAAGATAAAGCATAGCTGTCCTTACAGAATGCTGTGTCTGTTTTGTGTCTTTAGATGGCTGAAGATATACCTGAATAGCCTTTGATGTTCCTGACTACCTAAATCCAAGTAATCTGCTGGGCCCTGGGGAAATCCAGCTTCTGAAATTCCACTTAACTGGGTTTTAAATAACCAACACAAGTGCTTTTGGGATATTTTCCATAATTTTCAAGGGATTAAATAAACATTATAAACCTGTATAACAGGAAATATTTAGCCCTGACTGGAGATTACATAAAAAGTTCCCACATGGCGCAGACTAAAAGTAATTCAATACTCTCTGGATGTAATTTGAAGTAGGGGGTTAATAATCTTCATGAATATACTATACGATTATAATCAGTCTCCAGATGACACTATCAGACTTATTTATTAAGACAAGAGCAATGTTCAAAGTACAGTTTGTCATGACAAGCCATTAGACTTCAACTTTCAGTGCCTGTACTTCAGTTAACTGAAATGACATGTAAACCCTAAGTGAATGACACTTCGTTTGCTAAAGTATTCTATTCCAAAAATTGCCTTTTTTTAACAATATATTATTTTTTTACTTTTCTATCCTTTGTTGCAACCCAGTGCTGCTGATCACCTGAAGCATCTTTGCAGCCATTTTCTGTCCACACTCCAGCAATGGCTGAATGGCATTTCTCATGGTGGGTTTTCTGATGGTCATAACAGTGGACCATGCCTGCATAATGTGTGTTGAAATGACCACGTGTCTCCATGGGAAGCCCTTGTGATAGGGTGACAATGCACAAGCACAAATGGGAGACACAGGGTTACACCAAACAGAAAGGGGTTTATTTACTAAACATGGAGAGTGCAAAGTCAGGCTCACTTCTGCATAGAAACCAATCAGCTTCTAACCTCAGCTTGTTCAATTACGTTTTGGCAATGAAACCTGGAAGCGGATTGGTTTCTATACAGAAGTGAGCCTGACTTTGCACTCTCCAGGTTTAGTAAATAAACCCCAAAGTGTCTGTTTAAGGACTTTCATTGTATGATAGCAGCCAAAACACTTTCAGGGACTGTACAAAAAAACTTTTTGAAGATAAGTAAAAAAATCCATGTGGAATAACAGTTCTAACGTGTTTCAGCCATACAAGAACTTAGTGAAGGACAACCATGGCTTGATCACCAGTTATTATGTAAATGAAAACTGCAGATTTATATAGATGGAAAATTACCTGTGAAATTACAGATAACATAATAAAGCTTAGGTAATAATTGAGTGTTTGTGTTTTATATATGCTTCAATGTTGAGCTCCATACAGATATAAAAAAAAAACACCAATTAAATCAGCATTGTATTTCTTTAAAAATAAACTGAACATATAGCCAAAGCATTTTTATTTTTGGTTGTTTTTATTTAAGGCGCAAGGAAGGATAGGAGCTTCTGTCATGTTTTTATTTCTATCTGTAAACTACTGCTGCTCCTTCACTATCCAATCACAGGCTGGGGGTAGTATAGTGACCTAGCACCAGCACCTAGCACAAGGTTGTCTGTGCTGTGTGAGGGGGTTTGTAATCTCAGGACTGGCTACACAAAAATACAAATCCTTTTGTAAGTAAAACAGCTTCCATATAATTAAATCAGTATATTAACCACTTGTCAACCACGCTGTAGCCAAATGATGGTTACAGCACGGTTGTCCAGTTCTGGGAGGGCGTCATATGTCTTCCTAGAATGTGCCCTCCCACTCGCCCCCAGTGTCACGCACCCAGCAATATCCGCGATTGCTGTGTCCTACGGACGCAGCTGATCACGTCATGTGGTAAAAGGCCAAATCACAGCGGCCTTTTACCACATGATCAGCTGTATCCAATGACACAGTAGATCACCAGGTAAATACAGTTGCCGGTTATCGGTTGCACTTTCCTCACACTGTCACAGCGTGAAGAAAGTACTGTCGATAACCAGAAATTGTCAGAGAACAGATCAGTACTGATCATCAAGACACTGATGATTAGTGCAATGATGATCAGTGCCCATCAGTGCCACCCAGCAGTGCCACCCACCAGTGCCCATTAGTGCCACCCACCTGTGCCCAGCATTACCACCCAGCAGTGCTGCCCAACAGTGCCACCTATCAGTGCTCATCAGTGCCCATCAGTGCTATCAGTGCCGCCTCATCATCGCACATCAGTGAAGGAGAAAAATTACCTATTTGCAAAATTTTATAATAGAAACAAAGAAAACCTTTTTTTTTTTCAAATTTTTTGCTACTTTTTTTCATAATGCAAAAAATAAAACACCCAGCAACGATGAAATACCACCAAAAGAAAGCCATATTTGTGAGAAAAAAATTATAAAAATTTCATGTGGGTACAAATTGCCATTCAAAGTGCGACAGCATTGAAAGCTGAAAATTGGCCTGGGCACGAAGGAGGTATAAGTGCCTTGTAGGCAAGTGGTTAAGCAGTTTAAATCTGCAATCAGCTTTAA